GTTTTGTCTTTCTCATTCCTCAACTTTACCATCACCGCCCTTGGACCACGATCGGTGGGTTTCCCGACTCTGTGAGCCCTCTCCATCTCAATTTCATGCTGAATCTGCAGATTGTTCTTGAGAATCTCCTTAACTTTGCCCTCCGCATCCATCCAGCTTTCACCAGCTGTCTCCTTGATTCCCGCAAAGATCAAGTTTTTTTGCTTGGATTGTGCTTCCAAATATTCCACTTTATTCGATATGACTTTTAAATTCTCACAGGCTTTGTAGACGTCCTCCCTTGTATCTTTGATTTGTGTTGTTTGTTCACCCATGGTAACTTTAATCGCATCGACCTCTCGCTGGGTAAACTGCAGACTCGTTTTTATGCCCTGTATCTCTCTGGTCATGTCATCGAATCTCTTGTTGTTCGTCTCCATAAGTATTTGCACAAATCCTTTGAAACTTTCGTTAAGCTGATTCAGCAGGGCAGTGTACATTCTTTTCTGCTCCAGCAGGTCCGTTGCCTGCGTCGCTCTGTCATAATTTTCTTCAGCTTCGACATCCTCAGCCGCATCAGACTTGTTAGCTTTTTTCCCTCTTGGAGGCATTTCCACAGATGTAGACTTTTTCAAAGACTTGAAGGTGTAGAAGATATGAAAAAGATATGAAAAATCCCAGAACAGACAAGAGGATCAGAAAAAACGTCCGCTCTCGCTTGCAACCCGGAAGTCCCACCACTGAGAGTTGGACACAATCGCAAGTGTCAGCAAGGAGAATCATGGAAATAATTACAAAAGGGCTCCAACATGATTGGGTGGCGGTGGACTTTATTAGCTTTGTTACTGTGACTAAATACTCACAAATTAATAGTTAATGTATACTTTTGTCCCCAAAAATATGTCCAGAAATAATTTCCATAATCTGTTATACGGCTGATGAACCTAGAAAAGTAGGGTGACTATTTTCTACTTTTATCTTATGCCCAGGACATTATAATGACTTTAATAAATATGGGTTAACACATTAAAAATATTTCAAAGTGTATGAGGAAGGCCAGCGTGCCAATACACGTTAATGTATTTTTTTACTTGTTAGCCCAAGGGTGTCAAACTCAATCGCACAGGGGGCCAAAGCTCAAAGAACACTTTTAGGTTGTGGGCCGAACAGGATAAAAAAATGATTGAAAAGACTAAAATTAAACCTTTTTGAACATAAATATGAATCGAAACAGACAGGTTACAACATTATTTCAAAATTAATAAACTTGAACTTAACCCTTGTACCTTGTTCATGTTTAGTTTACATTGCCTGTGTTCGCGGATGTGCTGCACCCGCATCGTCTTTTGGCTTTGTAACTCAACATAATCAAAGAATTTTAATCTAAAACAACGTAATAATCAACTCTAATAATCAACATGTTAGGTATTTTTTAGTCAGATAGATATTGGTTAGGTACTTGTTGTATTAGAAATGTTTAGTGTAGACAGGATGTCTAGCTCAGGCTGTTAAATGCTTACTCATTTCCAGAAGTTACTCCAGGTTGTTTATGTTCCAGGATAACTAGATAGAAAGTGGCTACTGTATGATATGTTTAGCCGTAATCTTAATCATAATATCTTCCTAGGCTTAATGTCCGGACATGTCCCTGAATGTCCTGTATGTTCTTAGATACACACCACTTAATCAACACTCACACACATTGATTTTCTCCATGTTTTGACTACTGCTACGGTCAGCTGTAAAGCTGGCATATCAGGTGACGCCACGGTTTGACGTGCCTGTGTAGAATGGGGTTAGCCCAAACCAGATATAATGTACAGGCCTGTTGGGTTCGGGGTCTTTCATTCTTCATCTGCCTGCGCGCAGTATTGGAGGTGGAAGATACCTGGACGTGTAATGTTAATTTTACCTGTGATCCTTTGAATAAACCAGCACGGTTTTTTTGTATCCACTTGGACCGCCTCGTCTCTCTGAGTTTTACAGGTTAAGCGTAACTGGGAAAAATATTTTTCAAACAGATGTTTACATTTGCCCTTTGTTACCTTTGTTAGATTGCATTACATGGAATGTCTCACATTCAGTATACTGCAACAGCATCACACACTTACTTCAATCATTCTTTTAAAATTTTCTTCAAAAACTTTGTCGGAAAGAAAAAGGCGGAACTCAACCCCTAAGCCACTGTAGCACCCGGACAACGGACATCGCGCAGGAATACGTTTGTACAAGTGTTAATGTTTTGCTAACGAGCTTTGAAAGTGAAGTGTGGAGGATCGTGTGAACACTTCGTAGCCCATCACCAACAAACTGACGTTAGCGGAGCAGCGAACGTAGGAACAGACGAGCAGTTCATCAACACACACTGCAGCACTTGGGTCAAACTGGTGAGACAAAGAAAGGAGGTGGTTTCTACAGACTTGTGTCTGTTTTGGATCACGTTGGCTTTCTCTGCTAGTAACAGACGCTGTTCTCAGGTCGTTTACTTGAGTAAATTCGGAGTGCCACAGTGTAAAATACTCAAAGTAAAAGTCCTGTATTCAGACTATTAAGTAAAAGCTCAAATGTATTTGCATCCAAATCTAACCTAAAGTACCAAAAGTAAAAGTACTCATTATGCAGATTGGCTCATTTCTATGAATGACTGGGTTATAATTATTGATGCGTTATTGTGTTCATCATATTTAAAGCTGCAGCTATCAGTTGTTTGTCAGACAGTAAACTAGAGTAAGAGCCAACATATAGTGCCCTTCATTTTTATTAAATGGAGTTGTTTTTGAATAGGAAATGAGTGTGAGTCGAATCATGAAATCGAGTTTGCCAAAGATTCCCACCCCTAAGAAACACTTCTATGAGCTGTTACCTGTTCAAAATACTGTATGTTTACTCA